CAACGCATAAGAAATACGCGTAGACAGTAAATAACTTCACAGCGCACAAATTGGCTGACCAAACATGGGTCTTATTTTGTACAAAGAAGAGTTGTAAATGTTTTATATCCTATCGATCTGATTTAGATCATTTAGAAGCAGAGCTATTTCAACTCTGCCTTTCCGGTTCAACAGGGGAGGTGTGGGATGATAATTATTGTGTGTGGCATCCTGGTGAAATCAGGCGCTAGACAAAATAGTGGAATCGAGAAAAAAAACACATTGCACCCGTTTGGCAATTTTTATAGAATTGTATTTCTTTTCTTTTAGTTTTTTTGTTGTTGTTGCTGTAGTTGTTGTTTTATTCAAAACCTTCAATGTCAAAGTAAAAAGACATTTCTGTGTACATTTAACTGAAAAACATTGATCAAAAGGCACAGGAAAAATGTAAATTTGCTGTTCCTAACGACATCCAAGCTTTGGAAATCCGCAAATTTGGAGGCCATTTTCTTGTTACTTTTACTTCTGACACCAGGCCACACCTCCTCTTTTAATTGCAAATACATGCACTTATGCTTAAGATAGATGGGTATCCTTTTCCATCAAAAACAAGGTAAATGAACAATTTTCAAAATGATACCAATAACTCCATATGCCGCCAAAAAATTGACGAGCTCTTGATTCCGCCACGTTGCAACATTTTTTTTTTTTATCCAACGGCCAGCAGACTGAGAACTGCTTTCTTTGTACTAGATCTATACTACAAGTTCTCTGTGGGGTGTTGTGTTTGTGGACTTCTCTGCACCGCCGTCAAACCATTCGATCACAACTTCACATTTTCTGCTCAGCTCACTTTAGCATGGGGACATGAACGCAGCAGACACTCAAAGACATAATTGCAACTTGGCAAGCGCACTGATTATGTATCAAGGCTTTGTATGATTGTTCCGGTTGCCAGAGACGACATGACGTAAGAGATTTAGTCGTCTGTTCAGAATTTGGCAAACATATGTGGGACTATCGTCTGCAGAGTTTTTTGTTTTCTTTCTTTTTTTTGGTCGAAACGCTTATACAATTGGGAGCTACTTGACATCCGGCCATCAGGGACAAACATTCCCTTAGTTCGACTGCTATTATTTTGTTGACTGAGACCAACTAGGCTTCTCACGTAATAATACCCAGAGAGACAGACAGTAAATACTGACTAGCCTTAATTATGCGCAATGCGGTGTCTCAACTATGGGTTTTTAGATCACTCAATAACTATACGGTTGTTCGTCCTTTTTTTTGGACGTTCTTACTTTCAGTTAACCCCTTCATGTCTTTTAGGTGAAAGTGAAAGGGCAGTGTTGATGGAGAAATGTTGTTTCCCATTGTTTGAGGGGGAGATCAATGAATACATTGACCATTTATTATTACTAGCTGGGCCCCCTTTCGATGATAGGAATGATCGATACTTTAACATCAACTGAAAGTCATTGGCCTACTATATTTTTCCACTCTACTTGAATGGAGCAATAAATCTTGAGAGATGCAAAAAATTAGAATGCCTAGATCTAGATCTATACTCTCAAAACAAAATGCGCTTTGCAAAATATCACTTCCGCACCGGATTTTCTAAAATTACAAAGACAGAAGCGTCGGCCTACAAAAGCGATCGGCGAAATAAAGAAATGTAACTTTTTGCAGCAAAACTGTCTCAAAACTGAAAAAACCGAGGGCGTCATGATCTGGAGAATATCTTAAAGAATCTTTTGGCGAAAACCGCATGTCGATCGATGCAGCCATTGAAAAGCCTTTTGAATAGCAAAATTCGGCCACCACAAACAGATAATAGATGATGGTTTCCGTTATTCCCGACACACCCTACCTGCTACCTGTCGTCTATATAATAGGATGACAACTGTGTCTTAGGTGTATCCTTCGTGTTTTCAATCCATCGATGTAGCCTGCAGTTTGTTGAGCAGTTTCAAACTTCTTTTTTTTTTCAAAACAACCGCGAATCTAGTTTTTAACCCACAAAAAATAAACATCTGTGTCACGTTAGGTACGTTACAATTTTTTTAGTGTATGAAGAGCCCAGATGTTCGGGAGCTTTGCTCAAACGCTCCACAATAAGATTCCTTACCACTTCCCAAAGAGGTTTGCTGAATCGTAATAAACGGTTGATTATACACCTAAGCAGCACCCCTAAATAACTGATCTCAAGGTTTTCCAATATCCCCTCCCCCTTTTCTTTCCGATCTGAATTGTATGAGAGTGTTTAAAGGGCTCTTCTTCTTCTTCTTCTTCTTCTTCTTCTTCTTCTTCTTCTTCTTCTTCTTC